GCTTGTCTCCCTTCGAGATTTAACAGTGAATGCATTTTGGTACGCTCGAAAATGATCAAAAAAAGAAACAAGGATGGGTCTACTTTTCGCCTTGGCTGACCTTATGGTTTTCATGCAATGGAAAAATGCCAGACATCGGAGCGCCAGCAATTCGATAAAAAATCAGTCACCGACAATAAGGGATGAAAGCAGATGCGACACATTCTTTCCTTGATACTCCTCCTAAACTCGTCTAGAACGTTCCGTGATTTTATGTAAAAACTTTCCGTTTGGCTATTTGAGCAAATTGAAATCCATCCATGCCGAAGTTCGCGCTCGTATGTGATAAATTTACATGGTACAAGACATGTTATAAATTCATTAGTTTATATTTAAAATGATTGAGAAATAACGATCCAGAGAACTTGTGCGAAATCGGCTTTGAAGTTCTACTAGAAATTTTTTTGGAAATGTTGCTATTTTCTTCTGCTTTTTTTCCTGTCTAGGAAATATCTTAAAAAGCGTTTGTGTAATATTCAGACATTTTCTTCTTGCAATGTTCTTAAAATTTCTCTTAGGAATCTTCCTCGGAAGCCTGCATACGAAATCTTCAATTTTCTTAGTTGGTCAAAATCTATAAGTCGTGGACACCGTTTTTTTAAAATTCGGTTTAATGGCTCGTCGGATACTAACAAAAACGATTTTTGGGATTTTATAGATGAAAATCTATAACAAAATGTGGCTTTTGGGTCATTCCGCGGAAATTTTAATTTGAACGATTTTGAGGGTTTTTTAATAAATTTTTTTAGTTTAATTTTTTTTAGTTTAATGCCACAAACTTTTTTGTGGTGGTTAGATCTTGGCGGTTGTGATTTTTTATTCTACAGGCCGAAATGCGTCTCTTTTTTTGTCGGTCTGCGAGAACGTTTGTTTCGCTTGATTAATGCTTTCTTTCTCTCTTGAGAGACCAGATGAAAAAGTTTTTCGCTATGATGCATCGATTTTAAGTTATGCACAGGGTGGTTCAAATTTGTGGTTCCCCATTGGAATCTCCGTAAGGATCAAAGGTACAATTTATATTATTCAGGGCAAAGGTGTCCATTTTGGTGATTACAAAAAAGCATCTGGATCTGTCATCACAATTTTCATAACACTAGGTATAGAAGCTCCATACTTTCTTATTTCTTATAATCAAAAAAAGAATTCATTTGAATACATCGCCATCGTAGCCAAAGATTTCGAAATTTTAGATACTGTATCGTTGAGGAGATCCAATGGGAGCCACGAATTTGAACCACCCTGTACAAAGAATCGAAAAATTGAACCTTCAAATCTCCTCTTCCCTCACGCATCATCCCCGGAGGTTAGAAAGGCTGTCCTATTGTTTTTGAGGGAGTTACTTTTTCATTGTACCTAGACTTTTATCAAAATTGTGGGATATCATTTCCGCCTAATTTACAGGGTGGCCATATGAAAATGGTACTCGAATTTCTTTCAGAAAATAACATAGGTAGAGGTTCGCGGTAACCATTTTTAACCGGTAAATCACTTTGTTAATGTTGTGTACACATGGCAGTTAATTTATTAAATGATGTTTTAATGCTGCTAATATCATGCTAATGAAATGAATGTCTATTTAATACAATTAATGCGTGTTTAATGAAATTTAATGTAGCCAATGCTCCTGCAATTTAGACATTAATTTAACGTTATTTTAATAATGCGTTTAATTTACATTTAAGGCCTTTAGTACAGCATACAGATACGTAACAATTAAATATTGAGCGATAGAGGGGAATGTTTTTGCAATTTAAATGCGCTATTCTCTGATTTTCAAAAAATAGTTTCAAAAATTCTTAGGGAATGCCAAGAAAATTCTTATTTTGACGGAATTTGGACGAAACCAAACTTAGTTCTGGAATGACGATGAAAAAATCATACACTTCTAATTATTCCGACGAGAAAAACACACGTCATAAGAAAAATACTTCACTCTAATATTCAATTAAAACAACCAAAACAAAAACTGATTTACAATTTGCTGAAAAACCCCCAGATTCCGCATTTTCGGCTAGATCAAATTTTTTTTCCGCGCGCCCCGTTTAGAAGTGTACGTTCTTGGAGTAGGACTACTAGAAATGCTTTTAGAAAACTCAAAAAGGGCACATCCTAGTCTAGGTAAATCTCACAAGTTCAATCCTTTTCTTGGTTATGAATAATAATAATAATAAATGTCTTTATTGATTAGCAGTTCTACATTTGAGGAATGAGGAAGGAAATGAAAAAATCTCTAATTTTGAGACTTTTAATGGTGTAACTCCCAAACGATCCATTTTAGACCTTTAGTTTATTTGGAAAAATGTTTGTATTGGTTTCCTGTAATCACCCAATTTTTTTGACATACGTATACTATACAGGGTGTTACATGTCAGTAGGTAAAAAAATTTTGTGGTAGAGGGGATTAAAACAAGCTCTTTTGCCAAATAAACCGAGGGTCCAACGTGTTTCCTTTGAGAGCAACCCTAAAAAAAGTGGTGGAATTTGCTTTTCTTCATTAATTTTTTTCTCAGCAACCATACGAGATATAAAGACTGGTGGCGCGTATGCTGTCTCCGATTTAAAAAAAATAAAATATTTACATTAAAAAGTTAAAGAAGAAATGCAAACTTCGCCACTTTTTTGAAGGTGGCTCCAAAACGAAACCCGTTGGACCCTCGGTTAGTTTGAAAAAAAGTAGTTGTTTTGATCCCCTCCGCTACCGAATTTTTGTTTACGTAGATGCCCAGTGGTATGCAGTCAACTACACCACCCACCTAGTTCAAACAGTCAAAATTGAAATTTCACATCGTACACTTCCGGCAACTGCGACAAAGAAAAATCCCAATATTGACTGAAATTATAATTTGGGAAACTCGATGGCCTCGATCAACTTTCGAAAATTCCAAGGAATTTATCACACAAATTTTGATCCACACTGAAATACAACTTAGGCACCAATAGAAAAAATCTGACATGAACACTATCTGGGTCGCACAGTGGGTTCGAATAAATACAATTAATTTATTGACAAAAACAAAAATGAAAAATTAAACGAAGAGCTTGGTTAAACAAATTACCCCACACGCAGACGACAAAAAAAGTAAGAAAATCTTGCTTGCACCATTAAAAAAAAACGTAAGTTTGGTACGCCACTGGTGATCAGAACTATTTTAAAAACATAATTGGGCACGATTTTGCCGCCTATGGATTTTCTCTATCTTGTGAAGTAGGGTTAGAAGGGAGGTTTAAATTTGTTTCTGTTTTTGGATTTTTAATGAAACTTGTATGGTTAAAAAGCAATGTCTACATTTATCCTAAAATATAAAAAAATTTTTGTTTGTTAATGGTGGGCATGTTGCATTTAAATTCTTCGAGAAACCAGTCAAAATCTTATTTTGCTACCCGAATCCAAGGGTCTGAATCTTGCTGTATTGCTGATATTTTCCAAGAAAAATACTGCCAATACGTCCATTAGTTTGAGAACTTATTAGATAATGGCGATTATATGATGGGCGAATATTTCATGTATAACCATAGAGTTTTCCATTTTCCAGGAAATTATTGGTATTTTCGCATGATTAGGACGTTGTGCGCGGGTGCACCATCCTGTTGAAACCAACAGTTCTCAACTTTTAGTTTTTTTTGCATGTGCCTTATATCGTATTCGCAATCAAAAATGCTACTGAATACAGTGTGTACTTCTTTATGGGCCATATATTGTATTTGATTAACATTTTTAACAATAAAGTATTGAAAGCGGCTTCTGGTGGAAAATCCCAATAGATTTTGTCAATGTTAGTCATGTCAATTTTATGCAGTGTACACAATTCGCTTTGGTGGTTTTCTGCTCGCGTTTTATATAAGTGTGACCAAGAGAAAATGTTGGAAATTATGTTCGGGGGTGGCTACACGTCTTTACAATACGTATGTTGCCTTTTAAGTAAAACCAAGCTTTTGAAAATCCATGAAAATGCGAATGATTTTGATGACCACATTTATCCCATGTCATTTATTTCAGAAGATACGTAGGAGCATTTTCCTGATCTTTATGAATATAATAATCATAAAATGTTAAAGAAAATCCCGTCTTTTCTGTTTTGGGAGCAATGTTTTAAAATACTCCTCGTATTTACAAAAATTTTTAATTTAGGATTCATCGGAACGTAACGACATCATTATGTTATTAACTTGTTCGGAATTTACCTCTTTATCTATCAATTGAATAGAGGTGTGTTATTATCAACATTAGTCATAGTTTACAGTACCAAATTTGGAAAGTGGCTCGCATTTGTATAATTTTGTTTAGTCGTGCCGCGTCTGGTAAATGTGACGGACGTGCTAGAGTGTAACTTTTACGTAAGTTTTAGCAATTTCCTTGACAATTTTGTAAAAGGGCTCTCTGTCATTCTAGAACGATGACAAGAAGCACAATGAACGCCGCCCCCATTCAATCAAGCCAATATACACTTCACTAATTCGAAATGAGTCATCTCCTTATTTGATTAATTCGTACATAATGCAGTAGGGAATGAATTAAATTCCGGCAATCCTTTAAATTTGAAATGTCAATCAATTCCATTACGTGCAGCTGCAGGCAAGGTAACCCAAAAACATAGCACAAGGTGCAACAAAAATTTGACTTACATTCTCTAAAACCTATGCAGATAGTTTGTTTAAAAGTAAAAGTTGAACCGGTTACTTTGTAATTATGCTTATTGTTTCATAGTCTCAGGTATTTCATATCAACAAAGTGCAACTGCATTGTTCGTCCAGGTACCCAATACTTTTGTTCGTTCAAACGGAAAAGTCTCTTAGGTCAATTTTATCCAGCCTGACAGCTTGGACAAATCCGCCGTTACCCCCGATTTCTATTATTTACACTCACGGCCGCCATTTTTTAATGCATGGTTAATGTCCTTTTGTTTACAAAATGGACCGGTTTCCGCATGTCGATTTCTTAACCATATGGCATCTTGTTACAGGAGTTGGATTACCTTCTGGAGTCACGATGCGGGAGAAGAAAAGTGGCGCACTTTCGAGAATGCAGAAACTCAAGAAAAGACTGTCACATTCCTTCGGACGACTAAGTAAGTAAACAATTGGAATGTTTGAATTGAATCGTTACGTAAGCTGCATCATTCATATTGTGCACGGTATGTGTCATTGTTTTATATCTACCTACAACGTGGAAGTCGGTTTCCTCTAAGGTCACGGAATTTGTAATGGGTACACCTACATTGAAATTCATTTCCATAATTGAGCGAATCAAGTGTGTAAAAATACATATGGTTAGGTTACTCACTTTGTTTGTTTCCTGTACGTTTTTTTTTACTTAAATGACCAAAATAGTTATAGAGCTCATAACGCGCCCCAGGTGTTCCTGTAGATACATTTTAGCTACACTCCTTGCAAAGTCAACTTTAAAATATTAAAAAAAGCTGATTCTTAAAATTTGAACTTATTGACTATTCTATTATCCATGCTTATGTACATACTGTAAGCCTTGGCTGAACTCCCCCCCCCCCCTCCCCCAAAAAAAAAAAAAAAAAAAATTAA